GGTCTTTGGCGTTGGCGGCATCGGGCACGCTGCTCGTGCTGTTGTCGTGCCAGGCAGCTTGAGCAGCAGCAACAGCTTCCGCATTGTCGCCATCGTCGCCACGGCTAGCTGACAAGTGACTCAGGCCGAGATTGAGAGACGACGACGACGATGGAGACGAAGCCGCCGAGGCAGCAGAGACATAGCTTACATTTGGCGCGATTGTTTGTTCGCTTGTTTGCCTGCCCTGACTTTGCCACTAGAGACCGTTATGTTTGTGGATCGTGCGCAACGGCGTCCAAAGCTTTATTAATTTTCTGCACAAAGCCGAAAGAGAGACAACTCCCTCGACTCAATTGGCTGCTGCTACGGCTGCAAGGTCGATCATTTGTAAGGCCAGCTTCATGAACTTGGTTCAAGCTTGTTGATTGGGCAGAAACCTCTGTGGCACAGCTTTTCCATTTCCTTTAGCAATAACACAGAGATATGCAAATCTAACGTTCGGCTCTCGCCAAAACATTCCTGCGGCCAGGAGAGCCGGAGCGCAGAGTTCTTCCAGTTCAAGCCACAAACAATTTGGCGAGCAATTGGACAAAACTATGCGCATTTATTGCGCCACTCCAAGCACAAACACACACGCAAGGTGTGAGGGCCCCGCGGCAATTGTAGATTTATGACAATTGACTTTGACGTGACCAACAAGGCAAAGGCGGCCAATTGGCATTGGCAGAAATGCAATTTGCAATTGCGCCGCCTCACCGTTAAATGGCTGTGCGAGAACACAAAACCAAATTAACGCCAAACAGCAACAGCAGCAGCAGCAACAACAGCAGCAGCAGCAGCAGCATCAGCAGCAACAACAGCAATCAAAGTGTAATGCGATAAGCCAGCAATTGCAATTGGCAACTGAGATGCGGATAGCGACTCAGATTGCATGACTCTTCTTTCCCCATCCCTGCGCGCCCCTCCATCTCTCGACCATCCCAGTGAACGCATGAGGTTAGGTCAGCCAAGTGAACGAACATCGGTATGGAGCGTATGGAGCAGCAGGCACGAAGATCGGTTTCGGTCTTGTGTGCTAAATGTCAATTTGATAGCACAGCAGAATCCAATTAAAGCCGCATAGCTGCAACACAGTTGCAGTTGCAGTTGCAAATTGCCATTCAGCCAGTCATCTGTGTGGATGCCAGCTAGCCAGCCAGCTAGCTAGCTGGGTCGTCGTTAGATGCGTGTGCCAAAGTATATTTGTGGGTCATGGTACAAATCTCAAAATGCAGACAGTCGACAGCTGCTCCTCTGACAAGAGACACCTTTTGATGCATATGCTAACGATGCATTTCGCTGCCTGCCTGTTGCCCCGATGCTCACCTCTCCCTTTGCCGACTGTCAAAATGTTGCGCATGTGAAATTTTCCCACCCTCCATTGAGGCCGCGACTTGCTGCGCCAGCAGCGCCTTTGTAAAATGTAAATTTCCAGAGCTCCATCTCTGGCGATACATTTATATTAGTGTGCTGCAGCTGGGGGCACACTTTGTGGCACGGCACGGCGGAGAGGCAGCTGAGGTAGCTGGCTGCTCAGCTGGCCACGCATGCTCCCAATCAGCACAATCACAATGGAGCTGCCTCAGACAGTGCGGTGCATTCGCACACATACACACGCACACACGCACACACACACACGCAAACTCACTTGCATTCACTTTAAGCCTCTGTAATTTTTCAACCTTAAACAGTTGCCTGTCAAGTGCTTACCCTTTGTGCGGCTCCAGGAGGAGTCGCCGCTGCCTTCCACCACGGGCCGGCCCACCATGTCGGGCGGCTGTGCAAATATTTGCATTTGTGTTGGCCGTCCACCGTCGGCCGTTTCTTCACGCATGGGCCACCGCCTCATGTTGGTGGCATTGAGTTAGAAGCCAGCATGCATTTTTCATAACGCATATCAACGGCGTCCCATTGTTGGTCAAGAGGCTGCAGCTGATGATGATACATTGCCATGGGCCCTAGCTAGGCTTCGACTTGTTCGAGCCTTTTCGCAAAGTTCCCATGACCGACATTCGTTCGTGTGTGTGTGAGTGTGAGTGTGAGTGCGAGTGAGTGTGTCTACCCCTCCTTTCGGGGAATTCCCTCTGCCACTTGTTTTGGGCAACTGGCATGGGGTAAAAGTTAGCTAGTTGCATGCTTGAGCATTTGTGTGGAAAGCGTTTAGTTTCGGCTGCTTCATTCACAAATTGAATTTGTGTCACACACTCGGCCAGCAGCTGGCTGCTGGCTGCTGACCACCCCTTTATTTGGTCTTAACCCAAATACTGAAAGCGGCTGCTGAAATTGTTTACCATTTAGCAACAGCAACATCTAACTACACCAGCAACAACAGCACACAACATCTGCAACAAATGGCAGAATAATTACCGCAACAAGTTGCCAGTTGGCAGGCACATGTTGCTGGCCTGTTCGTGTGTTGCTAATAGCTATAGAACAAGTGCCATTTTGGCCAACAACTAATAGCCAGTTTGTGTCGCTTCCGTTGTCAGTGGTAGGCCAGCAGCAGCAGCAGCAGCAGCAGCAGCCTCAACTCCACCATCACCGCCACCACCATCATCATCATCATCATTGTGATAATCATTGTGCCCGTGTGAGATTATCATTATTGTTATTGTCGCTCGTCATGTCAACTCGTCATCAAAATGCCGCAGCTAAAGCCGAGGCTGCATCTCGGCGGAGCAATCTTTCAAGTTGGTCGAGGCGGGTTTCGTGTGTTGCATACACCTTGTTCTGTAGACTCTTCTTCTATAATGTTGTTGATGCTGCTGCTGTTGCTGTTGCTATTGCTTTTAACATTGTCGTTTGCCACAGCACGCAGCAATGCAATTTGTGGCTCCCGGGGACCGAGACTTAGACTCCAACTCTGACTTCGACTTGGCGCACTCAGGGGGCATGCTGCAGGCTAGCAGGAGAAGGAGGCGGAGGAAGAGCAGCGGCAAGGGGCGCTGTGCCGTTTCCCTGCATTTTAATGAGCACATTTCGCGCATTTATGATGAGCCGCGCTCTGCCTGGCATTAGCTCATTTTATTTGCTTGTTTCGTTAGCGAGCAAACGACACTGCCTCCCATTCTACCTACCACGCTGACGACAATGGGTGCGGGGTGTAACAGAAACCACTCGAATTTCGAAAGAAGAGCAGAGCAGAGCAGCGCAGCCGTTGGGGTCATTGTGACCCCCCGGCACACACACGCTCCAAACAGTGTCTGCAAATTGATGTCAGCATTTCAAATCTATCGATAAATCATTTACAATTGCTTACTTGCCTCGGGCTGACACTCGATATATGTATGTATGTGTATGAACGTGGCTATCGATAAAGTTTGCTCAGATCCAAGCCAAAGAGAGCCTCACGCAGTCGTCCCATGGTGCACGGCCGTTATTTTTATTAGCTTCTTGAAATGCATGAAATTGTATAAGTTACGCATGCACGCCCACTTACGGCCACGCCTCCTTGGCAGTGGCCGACCACCCCAATGTGACACGTCTGGGCGTACCACCCCCACTTCCCTGGAAATGATATCGCACTCACGTGTTGCATCTCCAGGGACTTGATTAAAGGCACATAAAAGCAAATAAAAAACTTGGCTAATAAACGAAAATATGAAATGAAGACATTTCCCTCCCACTCCTCGCTGTTGTTGCCTTTTATGGCATTATACGGACAGTTGTCTGCCCCAGCTAATTATAACTTGGTTTAGGGCGAAGGATGGAGCCTGAAAGTTTTCTTGTTTTTCTCTTCTTTGGCGTGTGGCTGACATTTTCAATCAGGACGCAACAACTTCACAAAACTATATTCACATTTGGAGTACACGGCCGCAACATGACAACCTAGTCGGAACGTATTTCTTTCATTCTTTTGGCTTTTTCTTCTGTTAGGGGATTGTGGGCAATAATTGTGAGCCTGCGAGCCATGTCAAGGAAAATTGCACATCTGTCAAATCAGCAAACAAGTGATTTCCGCAAACAATTGAAGAAAAACAGCCAGTCAGAATCTGCCCTCCATCCACCTACACACACACACACACACACACACATACACACATGCTTTAGGGATGCCTGCCCATTGCGATTCTCACCGAGCTCGGACGGTAGTGCTGCTGCTGCTGCTGTTGGTGGTGGTGGTGGTGGTGCTGCTGTCGGTGGGGGTGGCAGCTCACTGTCAACAGTCACCCAACCCACCCAGAAATTCTTTTGCTGTTTGTGCACGTAAATTGCTTTTGTCGAGCAGTTGAGGCTATTGAAAAATTTGAACAACAAAACACAAAAAAAAAAAAAAATAAGAAAGAAAGAAAAAACAAGTAAGAACGTTGCAGTCGGGCGTTACCGACTGCGGAATACTCATTCACATCCCATCAACAATTTAGTAGTTAAGTTTCGTTCTAATACTGTAGAATATACAGTTTTTTCCGATTTGCCACGCCCCAACTGGGCGTAGACACCTCATTTTTGGTCAGTTTTTAGAAAGAGANTATATCGGAAAATGCATTTTCCGATTTGCCACGCCCCTAGTGGGCGGATCGGGAAAATTTTAACACTTTATAAATCGGAGATATACACGAGTATGTGTTCCAAATTTCAAGTCTCTAGCTTCAATAGCGCCGAAATAGATTGCGTTCATACGGACAGACGGACAGACGGACAGACGGACGGACGGACAGACGGACAGACGGACAGACGGACGGACAGCAAGACGGACATTGCACAAAACCAATATACTGATTCACTTTCGTGAATGAGTATAAATATGTGAACCGACATAAGGACATGTGCCCTGTCATGCTTTTTTAATGAAGTGCCGTCGTTTAAGAAACATATTGTGGCTCAATTTGATTGTTGTGTGCGGTTTTACATCTGGCTTTCAATGCTGGCCGCTGAAGGGTTAAACGGGCGAGTGTCAAAGGTCTAATGGATCAATTCGTTTTGTTGAAAATCATGCCACACAATACTAAAGTACATTTCGTTTCCCTCCTCCATTGCAGCTACACACACAAGCAAAACGATGACAAGAAAACGTTCGAGTCCGCTGGGACTCGAGGAGCTGATGTCTCTGGCCGTGCTGCTGTTGGTGCTGCCAGCGTTAACGCTAGCCGGTAAGTGGTTTATTATGTCAACATAAATTACAGTTAGGCCGCTAAGTATCTGAGCCCACAGCCGCACTCCCCTTGCGGGAGATGCGCGCTAATTAAAGCAGTTGGCATGTGGCAGTGCGATCCTGTGACAAATTACCATCAGCTGCCCACAGCTGCCACGACTCGCACTTGTCCGGGGTCAGGAGTGGCCATTCTGTTCCGTCTGTCCCGTCTGCCCCGTCCAGCAGCCCAACGTTCGGCGTTGCATTTAACGCGAGCGAGAAGAGAATTCAATTTATTATTTGGCATGCGAAATGCATGAGGGTGTCCGAAATTCAATTGAGTCATGCGCTGCCATTTAAATTGAAATTGAAATTGAGGCGAAATGGCATTGACCGTGCAACCGGAGGGTGTGCGACACATGCAGATACATGAGAATAGCAACAGATACTAAAATGAATTTCGACCCTTGCCATAAATAAAGTCCAGTGCTAATGGCCACGCTCGGCAGATGGGTGGGCTGCACGATTATGTTGGATGCATCTGCTTGAACGAGGTGTTAACTTTCACATTCCCCCATCGCTCAAAGGTGCAGCCTATAAAATGGCCCATTGGACGACGGACGGCGGACGAGTGGGGAGCAGGGGAGCAGGGGAGCAGGGGACTTGTCTATGTACAATTTAACGACTGACTTGAACAAAACTTTATGGCAAATAAACCCAAAAATGGTTAAGAGACATACCATTTCTCATGTCTGCAGAATATCGGTCAGCAGTGCTGCTTCCACTGCCAGCGCAGTAATCACATGCAAACACAGTGCGACGTCAACGAAAACCAAAGGCCCATAACCAAAACCTTAAAACTAAATTCCAGCCGCAGAGCTGTGGCACTCTTTAATGGGCATTCAATAAACAGGCAACAAATGCAGCTGCCTCTCAACTGATTTGGCCCAGTCGCAACGATAGGCGGCAATATTCCGAGTGCGCGTCCCAGTCCGAGTCGGAGTCAGAGTCGGAGACGGAGTCGTAGTCGGAGTCCGAGTCCATCAGTCAGCCAGTCAGTCATTCAGTCAGCCAGACTGTCTTGTTGACCCACATTTAGCACCGCTCAAATGCTCGATACAGCGTTGACTTCTTGGAATTTTCATTAGCACATGCCACAAGCCTAACACTGAGGTGCTGCAATATGGAAAACTATCAAAAAAGAAAATAAGAAGAAAACTAGGGGGAGGGAAAACAAGAAAAACGCAGCTTAGAACATTTTCGATGATGTTTTGTGAATGGCTGAAAGAGAACTCGGAGCGTGTGAGTCGAGAACTGATTAGAGCTAGATCTGTGTGCCTCTTCTCGCACTTTTCTCACCCACTTATGACTATTGTGTGCTACACGCACGCACACACACACACGCACACAAATCTGTTACACTAACAAGCAAACAAAACAACTCAATGGACCTAAACGCTGCCCGTGGAGTCCAACACTTGAGTTTGATGAACTTACAGAGCTGGCAGAGAACAGAGAGAGGAGAGCGGAGAGCAGAGAGCTGCGATCTGCGGGCTCGAAGCAGCAGCTCAGCGCTGGGCTTTACAAGAATTTCACAGCATGGTCTGGTAATTGAATTGTTCCATAATATAATAATACACACATGACTACATAGTACATAACACCAGGCTCATGACTCAACACTTGTGCGTATCTGTGAGATACATTTGTATCTCATTTAGCCATCGACAACTGCCCGCCTGCACAGCCATCCATTTAATTCAATATCGGCCACTCGATCGCTTCGTACAGCCATGATTAATATGCGCAAATCGGCAAAAAGTCGAAACATGCACAAATACTTCACAACAAGTGGAATTTTGCGTCATGACCAAAGACCAGCCAAATGCCAATTGTTTACTACCAATTGGCAATTGTTTTCAGTGTTCAGCTAAGACTTTCTGGCAATATATCGTGTCTTAGCCAAGTGCTTTACTTTACAGTTAAGTCGCAGACGCAGTCAGCCGCGAGCGTCTTATGCAATTTTTAAGCAGCCAAATTCAAGTTCTAATTCAAGCTCAAGGTCGATCGCAGTCTCGCTCGATTGGTCGCACCAACTGGGCTGGCCAAGTTAATGGACCAACAACAGCGCATCGGCGCAGTCACTGTGGCAGATCCACCGCTTGTCGGCGTCGTCATCGTCTGTCAGCAGCTCCGGTAGCCCCAACACATAATCATTATTTTATAAGCCACAAAAAGCAGACGGCAATTTTCAGACCCAAAACTCAACTCGGCTCTCGCCTTAGCGCGTTGCCTTTTGACTTTTTTCGCGGGGCGTTTTCATCAATCAATTCCGCGCTTCAGTTCCTTTGCTCTGCATGGGGTATTTCAGTTTTGCCAGGAGACTGCGCGCAGTCTTAGCTGTCATAAAGAGGTAAGGGTATTAAATATTCCACAGTCAGTAAAGAGTTATTTCCATTATTTTTTTCTCATGGCTGGGAGAAACAGGTGTTGATTGTTTTCTTTTCTTTTTTTTGACATCTGTTTGTCGAATCCCCAGCTGGACCTGGAGGCTGGGCAATTGACACCAATGAAAGTACTCGGACTTATTTATAGTATGTGACGGACAAAAGTGATAAGTCACAGTCAGTGAGCATGAGACTTGAGCCCGGCTATGGGTCTAATTGGAGACTCAACATTTGTCCGATGGGGCTGCTTATGTTATGTGTTCAAAGTTCTACATCAAGTTGCCTGCGTAGCCCGAGAGTAAATGGCATAGAGAGAAAAACTCGTATCTAAGCATATTCTTTATATGTGTTTTGATGATGCTTAACTGATTGCTTAATTTATAACCAATTACAAAGGCATTAGTGCGCTTCCAGCTGGATCTTCCTATACTTAATATAGGTTGTTGTTATTGTTTCTGTTTATTGCGCATAAAAATCACCTGTTTATGGCTAACTAAACTCGTGAGTTGCGGAAGTCGAATGGCATTTTGGGATTTTATTGCCACTTGGCGCGCTTAATTAGCTTGTATTAGCTGGCATTTTGGCCAAGCCAAGCGTCGGGCATAACTATTGACGACGGCCAGAGTTTTCTGGACAGGCTTAGGCCGAGCCAAAACATCATTATGCTCAAGTATTAATTGCATGAACGCTCGCTGATGATATCAGCCACATGCCAACGGCAGCAGCAGCAGCAGCAGCAGCATCATCATCAGCAGCCACAACGGCAACGGATTTAATCAAGATTTTTGTTGTTGGCCCGTCAGCATATAATTAACATTTTGGCCAGCTACACACACCATCCGACCAGGTTCAATGTCAAGGGGCCAAGCTGAGGCGTCTTATCAGGTGCTTGATAAGCCCCATAAGCCAATGCGGCACTTGCTGCACGGTGGGCGTGGCGGCTTGAAATCGTAAATATTTCGTATGCAAACAAGCTGAAGCAGTCGGAGGCAGAGGCTGTCTCTACCTGCGCATATACTTATGGCCACGGCTGTACCTCTGTACCTGTACCTGTAGCATAACCGCATACCAATAGCCATGCTTTATGGTCGAACTTGACGTAGTAGTTGCCTGGCTTATTTGCCTGGGCCAAACAACGGGCCAAACAGCCGCTGACCGTTGACCGATATGGAGATGTGGCTAAGCAGCTGAAGAGCCATACATGCATATACGTATGTGTGTGTGCTCGCTGCGTAGCTGTGGAATTTCATAGCCACTTGAAGAACAAGTACGCGAGTTAGAGATCACGAACTTGCGGGTTAAGCGGCCCACACGATGCGACTGCGTGTGAGAGTCAACAGGATAAATCCGTGTCCACACACGACTCTCATGCAGATTTTTCCTTCCCTCGGCTTCTTAGTTTTGCTGACCAACTTTCGACAGTGACACAATTAGGAGTCCGCCCAAACCATGTCCATGACCGCGCCGTGTGCCATGTGCCGCGTGCCATATGCTGACTTTGGCCATAAATTTTGATTTGGCTGCCAGCTGAGAGGCAACGACTTTCGTTTCGGCCCACCAAAGACGCTCCACTCGTACATCAATTTGTCAAAAGAAATATATATCTAAAAAGTTTAATGTTGCTGTAAAGCGCTCAAATCAAAACTGCGTATGATAAATTGACCATGACTTGGAGACAGACCCCAGAGTTATGAACCTACACACACACACGCACATACAGAGTAGAAAGAAGAAGAAAAAACACATTTATAACTCTTAAAGAGCCACTTAGTTTGTTTTGATTCAACCCACGCGAGCCACACATTTCGTTTGGCCTGAGGCCATTGACCAGATTTAGCCAGCCAGAGCCATTTGTCTGCCCGAAAGGGCCGCACTGAGACTGTAGTTGGAGCTCATTGCACTTGATTTCAATTTAATGAGAGCCGAGCATTCGGGCAACGAGAATTTGGAATGTTGGCGTGTGAATTGGCCAAGAATCAACTGCTGCTTCTGCGCTCGACTGACGGAAGCGCAGGCAGCTCAATACGATTTTATCAGCCGTACAATTTTCAACTTCCTGCGACAAGGTCAGGCCGGCGGAGTGTGTTGGTAGTGCAGGTGAGGCGTGCTGGTGTTTGCGGTAATTTCAATAAAGTAAATAATCAGCGAGCGAGTGGCGTTTGCGGTTAACTGGCAGCAATTTGTATGTGTAACGGTTCACTGTAAGCCCCATTTGGCAATGGCAGTGGCAGTGCCACTCACACCCTGCCCCAGCACCACACACTCCACGCCACACTCAGCTGTAGCCACAGAAATTACACAATTTGACAATTAACGCCTTCGGTTCGGCTTTCCCTCAGCTGCGCCTTGACAATGAAATGGCTGCTGTGATTGCTGTAATTCTGTAGCAGTTACCGCTGTTGCTGCTGTTGCAGTGGTGCAGTGGCAGCACCGAAAAAAAAAGAAAAAGACAAAGGCGGCAACACTTTATGGCACAGCAAGTCGAAATGCAAATGAAATGCTGTTTAGTAGAGCAAAACGCCGGCAAACAAATGAAGTAACAATTCTCAGATTTCCCATTGTGATAAGTGGA